GTTTGCTTGTTTTCCAAATGAAGCTACAAGAAGCATACTTCACTTCCTCAGTGGAATGCTATCTGCATTTCAAACCTCCCCCCCTAACCATTTGATAATTTCCACTACAAAACAAGTCCCAGGTATCAAATCATACTTCATAGCGCAATACAGTGCACCCAACAATGGTTCTGATCCTGCCTAACACATAAAGTACTGCTTACTAAAAAATCACTCTCTGCATTTTCCACTGGGAAGACAAATCTACCAATTTTTGTTAAATAATACCAAGCTAAACATGCATGTAAACTATCATCAGTGTCCAAACAGAAGGTAATCATAATTGTGATAAAAGAAGACAACCAAAATCCTCAATTCCCCAAACATATGATGTATCCCCTCTGGGGACCTGATAGGAGGTATATTGTCTACCCACCAGGGATATGACAGGGAGTTTCCTTTAGGCTGAGAGCCATAACCACTCTACAATGAGCTGCAGGTAGTTTTGGTAAAATTCAGCCATATCAAATTACATGTTATCACACATACATGAAATAATAAGAAGAAGGAAATGTAAAATAATAGAGAAACAAAAGGAAGTACAACATGTAAAATCTAATATATAGATTTAGCCAAGCCTAAAGCCGAGCTCGCATTTTTTTTCCCGCACGTCTTAAGGGCATAACGCCTTGCCCCGGCCAGGACTAGAACCCGGGTCGTCCGACTCGGAGCTCAGTGCACTGACCACTAGACTACTGGACAAAGCCGTGGCGTTGGTGTGACCGCGGTACAGTTGACCACGCATGTTAAAAGTAGCATCTTGTACGGTCGGTCGTATGGTCGTAAGGTCGTAAGTCCAAATTTTTTCGGCTTGATGGGTTACTACTATTTTGTATAATTATGGGGCTATGCTTTGCGAGCTCTGCTATGACTAACAACAACTGCATTAATCAATAACAGTTTATCATCTTATGCCCTTTGGCCTCTTTTGCAGACAGTAATTGAAACTTGGCAAGGCTATTCACCAGCCCAGCTCAGATCACCATACTGTTTATATCAACACTTGCCCCAGCTTGTGGAAGAGCTTGCTCCTTTTTCCCTCAGTTGATGAATCACTTGTATTGTCAGTGCTTCTTCCAGAGGAGAGATGTTATCATCCTTATAAAAAATCGGAGACATGCATAATTATTGAGCTAACAAAATTTGTATGTTGATGCTCTTAAAATTTCTGCAATGCATCAGTCAATTCGTTAGTATATTCTTAAGTATTCCACAGTCCAAAATGGAAATATCGACAAAAATTCCATGTCTCCCCTCTGGGGACCTGATAGGAGGCAAGTTAACTACCCATCAGGGATATAACAGGGAGTTTTCTTTCAGGCTGAAAGCTATGACCACACTACAATAAGCTATAGGTGGCTTTGGTAAATTCAGCCACATAGAGGTCACCAACCACACTTGTTCCAAATAATTACATCAAACCATAATGACATGATGTATTGACAATGTCAACTCCCAGCCAATTCATGCCCAAATACATGTAATCCTGTGATAACAGCTATCAAAATCATTTCTCCTTGGCCTACAGCCTCTTGAACTGCTGTAAGAAAGTAATCAGCAAAATTGGTGGACATTTTAGTAGCATACATGTAATTCTAAATAACCAAACCTTTTCTTTTCTAGCCAAGAGTCTGTTCAGCACAGAAAATGCCAGCTTGATCAGTTCAACAAGGGCTATGGCATATCCACCTGTAGAACTACTGACAAAATGAACACAAGCCAGATTACAGTCAAACATGTGCAGCCAGTGGATCAGAAGGCTTCCTACATGCTTCAGTATGCTAAAAATGCCTAACAGGAGTTGCTTAAAAACATTTTCATCTGCTTTTATAATATGAAAAACTACAATAACAATAAGATATTAGTTGGAAAAAGAGGCAATAACAAAGAAATTGATGGATAATATTAAAAACTATAAAGTGCACAGGCAATGAGAGAGTTCTTTTAATAATTGTATTAATTTTCATTAGTCTTAATATTCAACACCCTGTACAGCATGTGTAGATTAACCATTTAAACCCTAAGAGTTACCAGCTGCTAATTTTTTCCTAACAATTACACTGATGAGTCATTCAATGAGATCATGATAATATACAGGAAATGATCACCAACCAACACTCTAAGAAGCTTTCATTCTTCAACTAATTCTCAAAAGGAAATGTAAAGGGAAGGTTACATGGAATATGGATATTGATGTTGGAGAATATGGGATTATACTTTGTTAACTTTGTAACCCTTGTCTAACAATTTATTTTTAGTATTCAGGCTTCATGCACAAAACAATCTTATTTTGCTCATTCAAGAGTTTCAACATGTGACCCATATGTACAGGTGTACCATACACAATGTTTTTTGACACCCTAATTCTTGACAACATTTCACAAATTTTCGAAGCAGATCCTCATTTTATGAATATCAAAAGATTATTTTTAACGAAGACCATACAATAATTAGTACAACATGTACCTTCCCACAGACACAAGTTTATCAACAGTATCCACCCCTGTGCCAAGAATGTTTAGTAGTGACTGTCCAGCTTCTGAGTACAACAAACCAAGAACTAAGGTGTCCTGTAAAACTGATGGAGTCCTTCAAGAGAGAATATAACATCCATTAATTGGTACTTTACCAGAAAACTTCAGTTGAAATGAAATAGAATAATCTTACTCTGCTGTTGGAATGAATCCAGATCTCAAGTAAGTGGGATCTTATTTACTTTAAAAAGTTCAATGATAAAAAGTTATGATTGCTTTGTTACAAACGATAATATGTGCTGTGCTCTCCTTTGTGGTACCTCCCACAGTGCAGAAAGCCTGATTAATGCTGTAGAGGAATCACAGCCAGATGCATCACTGGTTATCCAAATTCTACATGTATATGTGTCTTGTGAGGAAGCATGCGTATGGAAAATTGCTAGAGCATAAGGTTCCAATACTATCCGATAACAGTCCAAAGAATGGTCCTCATTGCTCATAACATGTACAGTTATAGCTACAAAGCTAAATGGTTGAAATAAAGTTGCGCACTGACCATGGCAAATCTGTGACTTCAGCTTCCATTGCATCACTGGCTTGATCAGCCATTTTTTTTGTGAAGTGAAGGCCAAGAACAACATTGAACAACTGAAGACATCTCTTCCCTTTGTACAAACCAAAACAAAATTCATTCATATTTTATTTGGCTCTGATATGTGGAATTTATTACACCCATTCCCCCAAAAGATTGCTTTAAAACTTAAGAGCATTGATTCATGTAAATTTAAAATCAGCTACATAGCAGAGAAAGCCAAAGAAAACTTTTGAACACTAGATAACATGTACAAGTCTATAGCTTTATAGAATTATTTCATGGTTCTTCAACCCTGGAAAAAGAGCCATTACATATTTATACAAGTGTCTCTGAATTGGCTATAAAGTAAATGTTTTCTATAGAAGGACACCAATCCTTTGTGCAAACTTACCAATTTCTTCTCTGTCCCTCAGGCTACCAAATCTCCATTTGTAAAATCCTGTGAACACCTCTCTCATTATGAAAACTAGACAGGCAGCAAGCTCGATAATACTAATTGCCCGATTTCCAGATTCCTCAGCATTACTCATTCCATGAATCAGCTTCAAAAGAAAATCCAATGTTGCCATGGTGACAGGGTAATAACCAATTGGCCTCTCTTTAGTGCTTAAAATTGCACCGAAGTTTCCTGGTGCTGTGCCAAGGAACCTGAACAAGATACAACAGATACAAAGGTGCTTTCATTCAAAGAGTTGAACATTGAAGGATAACAAACTATTATCATTTTTGTGAAAGATGATGTATTTAGTCAATGACACAGGCATACTCAAAGGAAAAGAACTTCAACTCCTCCCAATGGGGTTGAACCTACAACTTTCCACTTAGAACTTGGGATGCTCTACCACTGTGTTATAGGAGATTTGTGGCAGGCTGTGCTGTTAAACCCTGTAAGTCATGTGAATGACCAAGACAAAATTTCTCCTTACTATATCTATACAATATCATGAAGGCAAGTGATGAGAATTAAGAAAAATACTAATTGATCTGATACCACATTCTCCAAACTCACATACTGAGAATTGTTTGGCAGACCAGTAAGAAGAATTACTAAATTAAATTAGAACTTGGGAGTTAACCCTTTGACTCCCAGATCAAATTTGTCATTCTTCTTACTCTCAACCAAATCATAATGATTCTTGTAATGTTAGTTTAGAGAATTTAGTATTGGAACAACTAATTATCTCCAAATTTATATGTTTCTTTATTCTCATCCCTCATCTGGTTGATACTGAATTGATATTGTAAGGAGAAATTCTGTTTTGATCACTCATGAGAGTTAAAGGGTTAATCCAATACACATGTATCACTCATAAGTAGAGAAATTAGAAATATATCAAGAAACCACGCGATTTCTATTTCTGCCACCAAAATAGTATTCATCAAAGTTTGCAGCTTACAATAGTTTGAAATTCTAAAGAAAAGGAAAGCAGTAAGTTTTAATTAAATATGCTTAAAATATGCTAAACTTAGACAACAACATTTAGAATATAGATAACCTGACAACACATGCAAAACTGTAACACACAGACTTGAAAGACTTAAAGCTACAGATCTCTTTTTTTTTTTCTTTTTTTTTTTTATCTCAGACTACTCACTCCACTTTGGTTTTGTCTGACTTCGACATTTTGACTGAAGTGTAGTGAGGAAGGAACCCTGTCTGTTGAAGATGATGCCACACCTATGTACACAGCAGAAATGAAGAACACAATTTTAATAAAAGTTTTATGTATGTGACAAAGATTATGTTGTATGTTATTGTATGTTAACTTTATGCAGGGTTGTTACCAAATGCCGACTGCTGACAAAATTTCCCTCTTGAAAAAGCAGCGATCACTCAGTAAAGCAAACTACCACCTATCAGGTTAGGCATTAACAGCTGTTTGCCATCTTTGAGCTATCACACCAGAAATTTCAACAAGCAGCCTAATTCTTTAGCTAGAACCCTGTTAATGGTTAGTGTGTTAGACTCAAGATAGAGCTGTCCCTGTTTAAACCCTGGTGGAATCACTGTCCTGAGTGGCCTGATAAGACATGCTACATAAAAGGGTTCTTCTCTCTACCAGACTGCTGGGAAACCAAATAAAAACTTGGGCAGTTTGTCATATCGGGCTCAAAAGTGTCAAGTGCCCATCAAAGAGGGTGTACAGCATGAGTGCCAAAAAAACATTGATGAGAAAAGTGAACATACTCTCAATTTAATGGGTAACCATGATAACAACAAAATACCATGTCAAAAGCACCTTTAAAGGCAGCTTTTTGTAAAAGGAAAAAATTGTCTGTTACCTGTTCTGGATCTCTCAAAGCAACAGTAGCTAAGCATGTCAAACATGTGGCAATCAAATCTTGGGGAGGGTTTGGTGATGGTGTACACCTAAAATGAGATTGAACATGGTCAAGGTGATGGCAAAAATCATCACAATGTGTTTGGGTTGCCATTCTGTGGGTAAAGTCCTCCAATTCTTTATCAATTGATGGCCACTTCAGCCAAAAAATCATGTACTTCATCACTTAAGTCTTTTGTTTTTCTGACAACCTTACAGAGCATTGCACACTGCAGCCTCTTGAAAAAGTTATGGAGAAAGACAAAATTTATTGGGAAAATGAAATGGAAACACATATCACAGTAAGGGGTAACCCACAGTCAAAACAGCAAATTTCAAGTCAAAGGGCAATAAGTTTTGGTTTGGATACAAAAAGTCTATACTGGAGCCAGGTGACCCATTCAACCAGAGCTTATTCCAGTTTCCATGGAATGAATTGACTAAGAGTATCACTACTCCTCCCTGGATGGGATGGCAGTCCATCACAAGGTTACTCCCAGCATTTCATAAGGCTTCCCTCATAACTATTCACCAGAAAGTATTTACACTCTTAGTTGGAGAAAGGCACCTCTACAGTAGATATGTTGCTAACTATATGGCCAGATTTATATCATAGTTAGGTTGTGTTACCTCTGAATAATCAGATACAGACGGGAAGAGAGAGGCTGGAGATAAACAGCCTTGTCCCAGTCATTGAGTAGGACCTCATTGACTAACTCCACAATACAAATGACATTTTGACAATCCACAGCTAAATTCAAAATAATGAAAAAAACAAACTCATTTACCATAACCAGTCATTTCACATGACACAATATAAAAAAAAATATTGCAATACAAAATTCAGACTAAAGGTCGGAGTAAAACACATGATTGCAATGCACAGAAGTTCTCACCTGCTCCAGATCCCACAGATTCAAGGAATGAATCAATTTCCAATGCAAAAAGTTTCCAGCAGGAATAGTGATAACTCCATTGTATTATAGCAGGTCCTGGACAGCAAAAAGTAGCATTGTGAATATGCAGATTTAAGAAGACCAACACTTACATTTATATGCTCCAGATACCATTTTTATCTTTGATTGTGCCTATGGTAGTGATGTGTATAATTTCAAATTAAACATCAACAAATGTTTCCAAAAAAAATTTTTTACCTTCAGGTACAGGAGCAACTTTTCCGCATGTGCCAGCAGGCATAATGAGTTCTTTTGAATCTGGACTAAACACTGATAAATGAAACAAAAAATAAGATGCGTTTTTTTGCTTCTCATTGAGGAGCAAAAAGATTCAAACCTTTTACAATGCATTGTTTTTATATTTCTGTCCATGTTTAAAATTTCCAAAAGATGCCTTAATATATAGATATACATATATAAATGAATGTGGGGGTAGAGTCTACCTTGGCATAAAGTGCTCAATGCTGTGGTAGCAGAGCTAAGTATACAGAAAGTTCTGTCTGACGAGTGCTTAGGTGCGAAACTCAGAGTCACAGATAATCAATGCATCCTCTTTTATTCTTTAACTTATGTAGATATACATACATATATACACCTTAACTGGAAATAAATATAACACATGTGCTAGAAATAACCCACACACCCCCCTGCTAGAAAAAATACAACACATATGCTAGAGATACCCACCCCTAGAAAAAAAAAAGATTGACACTGAAAGTAATTATTGTAATAACAATGCCAAAAAATTATCATCTTTTTCTTTTTAATTCAAACTTCTGTGAACACAATGTAGCTTTTTCCTCATTGTTATTCTCTATTGGACATGAACAATTTGGCACATAGAGGCCCAATATGGCCAATTTTTTTCTCTAAAATGATGTCCAGTTTTTTCTCTAAAATGGTGCCCAAAAATGACAAAATATTTGTTCTTCTTTTTCCTTCGGTCTTTAGTTCATCAAATTGAAAGCCATGATGCAAACCTGTTCAAGGCTAATTTCAGATACCCTGTATTTATTAAATTTTAGAAAAAATTCCACCATTTTCACATCATTATTATCCTGATTCACCTCATCAACAATCATCTAAACAGTTCTTACAATTCTGATAGAGGATTCTTGGATTAACAATCCTCCAGATCTTATTAACACCAGAACAGTCTATGTCACTCAGCTGGTTTTCTCTCAGCAACTCAGTGTATGATGTCACTTTGTCCAAATAGTCATAAACCTTTGAATACAAACAGATTAGAACAAGTGAACATCGATCCAAGTTTACATTTGTGTCTTTTCACTCAAATCAAATTTACAATAAGTTAGCAAAGTTGCTGAAAATGTCACACTTTAGTTAAAAGCCACAAAACTCAACCTTTCCAGAGCTTGACCTGCCTTAGCTCTGACAAGCACATCTAGTGAGTACATTTTTCTTAGGAGTTAGGCATTGTCTCACTTATTTTCTCAACAGTAAGCAAACAGCCTTTCCCTTTCCAAGAGAGGGGGGAAGAGGGTTAGTATATCACTTATCACCCACTATCTAAATATGACCTAATGCATATCTTATAGTATTTGTTACAATGCTTTCACAAAAAGTAACAGACCTTAGCTGCAGAATCCTTGTCACCAGCTAGGGATTTCAGAAGTTGCACAAATGGACAAAACTGGAGTGGAAACCTGAAATAAAGAGATCAACATGATCTAAATATGAATAATTTCGATCACCAGAAATATTTGAATGATTTTGCATATGACAGAGATTTTCTCTGCTAAGACAGTATGTATTTCCCTTTAAACCAAGATGTCATGTTGAGGAAACCATCATTATAGTTTTGTTAAAATAAAATTCATCACTTTTGAGGGAAGTTGCAGTCACATATAAATCAACATTTTTGCAATAAAAATCTAGTGAGATTAAATTTCCAATCACCACACACACTTAAAATGTTTTATTCATTAAGCTAAATAAGTTTTGCTAGAACATCTATAAAATTAGTAATAATAGCAACACCTCTCTACCTTTACTGAGAGCACTTTTGGAAAGAAAAGTGATAATAAGTTTCTTATGGTTCTCAACCTAAAACCTTCAGATCAACATCAGTACCTGAGCAACTGAACCCCTACCCCTCCCCTATCTTAACAACAGTCAAATGATGACAAGTCAAGGTTAATGCTAAGTTAGGGGAGGGGTTGGTACATAGTTGCTCAGGTAGTGATATTGATCCAATCCATTAACTGGAAACTTTGAAAGAACCTTACCAACTTCTGGCTGAATTCAAAAGGAGACCAGCACCTGTATTCAAGTCCTGAAAATATTATAACATAAAAATTAACAACAAAGAATCAGCTTTATGTACATGTTCTGTACAATCTTTGTGCATCAGATGCTTAAATGTAGGCAAACAGTGACTGCAGCCAATGTTATCAATTAAGTATCAATTGCTAATGTCATTAGAGGCAGGCACAGACAAATTGGGAAGATGACACTTTCAAAATACAAATATAAATACATACCAAATCCCAGAAATCCACACAAAGACCTTTCTCAGTAAGAGTTTGTGACAAAACAGAGACCAACAGCTAAAAAGAATTACATGGTGATTCAATGTGAGTTAATCTAACAATATGAAAACTATACACAAAAGATGAATTAACCTTTTACCTCCCAAGATCTTACTAGTAATTCTCCTTACTGTCTGCCATACAGTTCTTGTAAGGTTAGTTTGGAGAACTTGGGATTGGATCAACTTACAATCGCCTAATTGATATTTTTCTTTATTCTCATCACTAGTCTGCTTGATATTGTATTGATATTGTGAGGAGAAATTCTGTCTTGGTCACTCATGGGAGTTAAAGGGTTAACAGAAAAGTGTCAAATTCTTGTAACTAATTTACATGGAAATGTGTAACAGCTAAAAGGGAGAAATAAAAATTAGATCTTGGGAGTTAAAGGGTTAAACCAATGTGTTTGACAAAATCATATGAAGAATAAACACAGAATTGAACTCAGGGTTGTGTACATTGCTGTACTTACTGGTAGCTCTCCCAGTGTATCCTCATCAAACAGTGCCAGCACTATCACCATCAGTCCATATATAAGGCTCTTGCAAGTGTTAGACACAACCTGCAAATTAAAGTAGTTTCCCTTGAAAAAATATTTCACCTTCATTTCCAAAGAAACAATAAAAACATGAAGACCTCACCACAAAGTCTTGATTATAATTAAAATTTCTTAAGCATTAATATCCAATAATGATATCATGATATAATGATATAAATTTAGGAAAAAAATGTCAACAATAACATTATTAAGAAATTTAATTGCCATGAGCCTAACAGGTCGTAGACTCAACAATGTAAATTAGTCACAGTTTGCATCTTTCAGTTTTCTTGCAGTTTGGCAACAGTCATTCCTTGTCAGTCCTGAGTCCTTCTGTAACAGTTTTTCTCAAACATTCTCCCCCCTCCCCTCCCTCATTTCTTCTTTCACTGATCTAATCTGTGTTGCTGGGTGCCTAGAATAGGGGTTGGAGATAGGGTTACAAGTATGTGTCAAACATGGAGATGTTACTCTTTCTGGGAGTTAGTTGGGCACAGATGATAAACATGTATTCCAGGCACCTTCCTCTTTGATTAGTTGAGGCAGCAATTGATATCAAGAATTTTTGTCAAGTTCAAACCTCTTACAAATGATACTTACATCATTTGTAGAGAATTCCTCACTTCTTAACATCCCAAGTAAATATTTGAACACAGAACATTGCAATGCTTTTCCACCAATTCTTCTTACAAACTGGAGAAAAGAGAAAAGTATATCATAGTACTGTTACAATGATGAGATGAAAGTTAAGAGAAATGTTTTTCAAAAAATTTGTTTTCCCCCCTAGCAAGGAACTGCTGTGGCTTTGAGGAACAAATGGCAACTTATGCCTACAGCCAATTTTTTTTCCTAATCATATCATTCAATGAAAGGCTTTTCAAGATACCTGTTCTTGACTGGCATCTATAGTAACATATCTAAACGCTGCCCAGGCCAACATGACAGGTCCATGGTGAGGCTGATCTCCGCAGCTAAGAAAAAACTTATCTAGAGCCTGAAAGATGAAAAGTGGTATCCATAGCAATTCTATTATTGTGTTGTCTTTTAAAGGATCAAACAGATTATTGAACAGAAACATACCTCAAGTGAGGCTTTCTCCTGGAGTAAATGATGCCGTGAACAGCTGTCAATAACAGAGTGAAACAGAAATCAAAATAAAGTAAACCCAAGTTCAGTGTTTTAAACAGACAGACCTTTCAACTATCACCCACTCTACATAGCCTACAGGTTGCAAGGTTAACCATTTGACCCCTGAGAGCGACTAGCATCTAATTTCTCCTTACAGTATCATCCCTGAATCAAACATTAAGGTCATGAGAGTAAAGGAAATGATCATAAACTATGGAAGTTCTTGATTGTTAAAGAAATTTTCCTTGTCAGCACCTTAGGAAATGTATACAGAACAGTAAGGAGAATATGCATACCAATGTTAGGTTGTAAAGGGTTAACCAACATCTCAAACTTGGAAAATCTACAGCCAGTTGTTCAAAGTGCCCTTCCCCGAACCTTAATTAAATATTAAGCTTGCTTTAATTTTTTAATGATAGTGAATCAGTGCAAACAGATTTTATCTGAGGGCCAATGCAAAATTAAACTATTATTAATAGTAAGTTTGCCTAAAAGTTGTATATGCAAAACTTGATAGATCTAAAGTTTATTGGATTAGATTGCTGAGCACAATGGAGACAGTGTACATGTATGTCTTTACTAAATCAGTCAAAATTATTTGTATTACACACCTGTCCTCTTCTATTAATTTCCTTAAACTCTCTAAGTCAAGTGAAACTATGAGAACCAACACCTGCAGGTAACTGGAAACAAATTATGTACATTACAATAGAATTGGAGGTTATCAGATATTCAGAAAAGCATTTGAATTTGAATTTTTATTTGGTGGATCCAGTGCCACAGAAATGCAGCTATAATCTGATAGTCAAGATACTCTCTTCTTCTCTTCTCTAGTTGGTTTGTTGGCTTGGTTGGTAGAGCACTGCATTAGTATTGCAGAGGTCTGGGTTCAAATCCTGTACAGGCCTGATTTTTTTTCAGGCCCCATTTTCAATACTGTCATGTTCATCACTGCAAAGATCACCTTCATATTATTTTCTTAATCCACAGTTCACATATATATTCAGTCACTGCCACTTTTCTTCTTACGAATGAAAATGAAAATATAAACAAGCCCTTTCTTTACACTTAGTAGAAGTGTAAAATTTATTAATATTGTAAGAAGTTTGTGACCAAAAGTTATCAAGTAAAAATCTGGGAGACCTTACAAATTTATTCACCTGATATGAGGAAGTAAGACCTCAGCCTGTCCTTCAAAAAGCTGTCTATTGACTTGCTTCAATCCAAAACTCTGGCTCTGTCATGTACAAATCATGAACAAAAAAAAACCAGATTCAAAGATTTCAGTTCTCACTTTCTATAATTATACATCTCAGCTGAAACACTTTGTGCAATAAAAGTTTTAAAACTCTGACTCTATCAGGTACAAATCATAAACACAAAAATAAAAAAAAAGATTCAAAATATTCCAATTCTAACTTTCCAAATATATGTTAGCTACAACACCTAGATCTTCGTGTTTTGTTTCAAAACTCTGGCTCTGTCAGGTACAAGTCACACAAACAAAAGAATACTTAAAGAAAGTTATTTAACAGGGTGTAACAGGTCACTTTTCATATACTTTCTGCTATTACCACTGACAAGACAACACTTTTCTGTATTAAAATTAAAAACCTTCATAACAAAATCAGTGGACAGAAAATGGAGTAAATCGTATTATCTCATAAGATTAAGCTCTTTTATCAAACTATCCTCTGTGGAAAGAGCTTTGAGACCAACAGGAATTCTCCCTGGTATGTTATAAGCAAAATAAGTACCTGTTAAATGATACATTTATATCAATTTCACCTGAAATAGTTTTGCTAAGTCTAGCAGGGACTTGGCTGGAACAACAAATTCCTTATAATAGAGGAACATGATTTCCAGAAGCAGTATCTGAAGGTATAAAAAATTCAATCTTTAAACCACTGAAGTGTGTATACAAATTAGAGGCAAATTAGCCAATGGAAGTAGGGAGAAAGCTCTGAAAAAAAAGTTGTCAAATAAAAGAATGGTCAAAGTTTCAATAAAATTGACAAGAGAAAACCGAAGTCAACTATTATGCATAGTTGATAAAGTAAATTGGCCACCGTAGAGAGTTGACATTTCAGGTGTTAAACCTTCATCACTCGGTTTGATAAAGGGCTAACACTCAAAATGTTAGCTTGAAACCCTTTACGGTGGCCAATTTACATTATCAAGTTAGTTGATAATACTAAATTACCCTGTTATAGTCTCTCTCACCAATGCAGCATCATGGTCTCTTTAAAGAAACTTACCCCCTCTATTTTTATCATGCATAAGGGTGTAAAACTTTACATATGGATAGTCAGCTTAGAGAAGGAGTAAATACTTGAAACCAAGGACCAAACTTGTTCAAAAACATTATCTTCCTTTTTAAAATTTGACTGCCATTTTTCACTCTAGTAAATGGGTAAGGTACTATGTAGGGCTTGCGCTTAAGATCTAGATCATATATCTAACTCAGCTACAAAATGACAATGCCTAAAAAAGATGAAAACCATTGATTTTAGTTTACACCAAAGACAATTTGTTTAAAACCATGTGGATAATTGAGCCTAGATTTTTACCTGTTCTCTTAAAAACTGTAAGGCCCATCGCTGACATTTTGTCTTCAGATGCTATGAACAGATATAAAAAAGAATTCTCTTCATTAATCTTTAAATTAATTTATCTTAACAGTATGTCAATGAAATACAGCTGAACCTAGACAATAAAAAAACTTACAAGTGATGATCCTGCAGTAGCATGAAGAGGAACTGTGGTAGAACAAGAAGTCTTGTACTGTTCCAAAATCTACAACAAACACAAAAATACTGTGCACTTGTATACAGACAAATTTGATGCTGGTATACTCCCTTTTCCAAGACAGAATGTATTATTCCACCTTCTGGTAATGAATCCATAGCTTCATACAGAAGCAGTTCCACATAACAAGTGAAACACTGTATGTCAACAAATAATATGAAACAATATGTCAACAAATAATGTTGACATATTGTTTCAAGATTCCCTCAAAAGTAAAGTTATAAACAATGTAAAACAAGTCCATGTACATGTGACTCCCAACAACCCTCACTAGCTGGACATTGCACTATCCTGAACCACAATTAATTTACTTTGGATTTGCTTATACATGTTTTGTAAATTTTAATCACAGGTTACACTAAGTTGGGTTCTTTCTATAACTACATGGCACTGCATATGGTGGATTCTGTTTCTAAAGAACTTTTTTTCTTAGGCCTTTTTTTTCAAACTCATCTCTCCCACTCAACTTTGCTTTAGTACTGAATAATCATACTGGATATAAAAAATTTCAGTATCTGACACTTTTCCCAATTAGCAACTCCCAATGAATACCATCTTTTTTCAGTTTATCTTTATAATCAAAGTGACAGTAAAGTGCATTTGAGATCAACTTAAATCAAATTCTCATACATGCGCATTGTACATTGCATATACTGTACCTTCATAATCAAAACATCATTTTCCTGCATAGCTTCGATGCACTCTGCAAATTCTTCCTGGTTACATGAAAAAAAATGCAAATCATCAAACTGACATGTTTATTTACAAGTCTAAGCGTTAAATGTATAAAAACATATTCATGTGATAAGCTTATTTATGCAGGGATAAGCTAAATGTACTTAATAACACTGTAAATCCTGAAAGTGACCAAGACATAATTATTCCTTATTATATCAATAGAGTAATTACGCAGATAAGAGATGAGAATAAAGAAAAACATCAATTAACCCTTTAACTCCCAAGATCTCATTAGTAATTCTCCTTACTATCTGCCATACAGTTCTTGTGATGTTAGTTTTGAGAATTTGATATTGGATCAACTAACAATCCTCTGACTGATATTTTTCCTTATTCTCATCACTTGTTTTCTTGATATTGTATTGATATCGTAAGGATAAATTTTGTCTTGGTAATTATCCAAACAAACATCATAAGAATTGTATGGCAAACAGTATTAAGAATCACTATAGATCTGAAATGGTAAAAATTAATTGAAATTCAACTTACTCGCCATTGATGTCTAGGGTCTTGCCAGTAGCTCAACAAAAACTTAGTGCACTGTAAGATGTGTAAACGTTCTTCAAAGTAGTACTCCATGATCTGAAAAGGTAAGAAAATGAGAAGAAAAAAAAGCTGGTAACTTCCAGTAAACCTCTGCACTGGGATATAACAAATTACTAACCTTCAGCAAAAGTGCCTCTGTTTGAGCTTCATTTTTCAACATTTCCTTTTCATTTGAAAGAAAGAAAGTATTGTATGAAAAATTATACATGATAACATTTATACATATTTGTGGTTCATAAACAAAAACTAAAGACAAAAATCAAGCCTCAGTCTTTGGGTTCCAAAGAGCGCAATTTTTTCCCTTAGTTTAAGCATGACAGATAAAAAAAATCTCAAGTAATTCTTAGTGGTAATAGGAGGTACTAGAAGCAGTATATTTTACTGGTGACTTCTGAGTCACCAGTAAATCTAGGTTTATATATGCCTAGAGCTAGGATCAGCAATTTTGAAAGCTGTGAGCGAGTAAAAACAGTATAAATAAGATGGTAAATTTTAATAATTCTACAAACCAGGAGCTGTTGTTTAGAGCCTCTAAAGTCATTCTCCAAGTAGCTGCCAAACAACTGTAAACTCTTCCATTCATCAAGATTCTAGGAAAAATCCATCACAATATCTGATTAAAATAAATACTGGTAAATGTTCATGGGGCACTTGTTAACATTTTAATACCTTGAAGGGACAACCATCTAATTTCTCCCAACAGTATTGCTACTAAATCAAATACTACAGTCATGAGAATAGAGAAAATGATCGCCAACTAAAGAAGCTCTTGATTGTTAAACAAATTCTCCTCATTATTATCATAGGAATCTACAGAAAACAGTGTAGAGAATATTCATACTGATGTTGGAATGTTAAGGGTTAACCCCAGCCCAGCAAGATCAACAAAAGCAATTATGTCAACAACAACAACAACAAAAGATATGGCGATAGTAATGATAGTGAGAATAACAACAACAACAACAACAACAACAACAACAACAATAACAAACTTACCAAAAATTTACTAAGTTTCAAAACAAATTCCTTTCGTTTTGGTTTAATATTTGGTGACTTTCGAAGAGCTTCAGCAGACTGAGGACTGAGAAATAATGATATTCAATGTAATGCGCCAACGCAAAAAATTCTTGAGATTAAAAAACCATCACCTGTCACATACTTGCTGAAGAATGAAACAGGAATAAATCCACAAATTAAGTGTACCTTGGTTCTTTATAGTCAGCGGTTCCTAGCAGTAAACGATCCTTCTTCCGTTTAAGTTCTTCTCCAATCTGATCCTAAATTTAAAAAAATTTAGTTTTTTCCAATAATTCAACACTCAATTGCACATTATTAAATTAAATTACGCTTGCGCAAAACATACTTAAAAGCGAATTAAATTATACTACTGCAGCAACCTCATCAATCTGGATGCAAACACTTCGAATGAAGAGCCGAACAAATTGATCATGCTATGAAAGAAAGAAGGAGAGAGAGAAAAGAAGAAAGAAAGAGCGTAATAAGTGCGAGACGGAACCAGCATCGCAGCAAAGCAAATCGAGATGATTTTGCAATTGTAAAACCTCGTCTTCGTACTGAACTTACCGGCTCTTGCAAGGAAGATCGTCCGGTTATAATGTGCCATAGCCCACGATTAGATCTGCCAGATAAAAACGAAACTATCCATTACTCTACTATACTATAAACGAAAGATCAGCCATCGTTAGCAACAAGTTTATTTTAAAGCTTGTGATCGTTAAAGCTTCCTGTTCGTGTTCCGTTGAAAAAAATCTTGCCAACTTATCCGAAATCAAGCGATACTTACATTTCAATGGAAGTCATTTCAATGGATTACGACCGAAAATTATGAGCTAAGAAAGAATTCTTCGTTGGAATCTAGCATTATTTCTGTCTCTTTTTAAGCCTCGTGTGCAACCGCAATTACCGCCATTTTGGATTAAGAACTTGGCAGCCTCGCGATATGAACTTTACTTGTAGTGTAACCTGACACGGAGCGTCCTCCCTCAATCTCAACTTAGCAAGTAAACTTTCTATCTGGTTATAGTTTCATACAAATGTGTTTGTTGGTGTAAGAGAGTCCACGTTCATGTTACGATGTCTCTTTCTACTTAATTCTCATAAACCTAGAGATCGCTTAGCAACAGTGCAATTGATGCTTGCGCCGCTAGTGATGTCACAATGACCTTCGAGTTCAGAGCGCGCGACCGTTGAAAAAAAAATAGCATAGTTGAAAAACGTTTCATTTTTTCCTGCAATGAGTTCATGGCTTCAACACAAGGAGTTTTCGGACAAGTTATCCACTTTGTCTATACCTGGCTTCCGAAGACAACTGGGAATTATAAAAGAAAGAGAAAAGATTTCCGCCAGAGTAAAAAGCCTGAAAATATTTCTCAAAAAACCAGTTCTCCAATGCTAGCCTTTATGAGAAGTTCGCAAGGCCTTCCAAGCACACCGAATGCCTCAAAGGTTTTGATTTTACGAGCTTTGCCGAACACATGCAAGGGACAGGAGGAGCTCCCGGAAGATTTGTCTTCTTGCAATCTTCAGGTTGTTGGATACAAGTTTTTATCAAACGAAAAGAAAATGAGTAAACGATCAGCTCTAAAAAAATGGCTGCGACGAAAGGCCAATGATGTTTTCCCGAGAAACATATATTGTGATGGACAGTTTGGTAACAGTAGACACATTCTCTGTTCAAGAGAGCTCTTTGAATGTTCACTGAAGCTAGATGGTAAGCCATTAATCAATTTTTTGAACCGCAAACGAATCCTGCATGTAGAGAAATTTTAAGATTGAGTGTCAAAAATAATCCGAGACTGCATTGGTTTTGCCTTACTTTGCTCTGTGATTGGTCCTGAAAACTCGCGCCACTCTATCACTCAATCAGATGCGAAACTGAAACCCCTCGCCACTTGATCGCCCGCGTTTTCCCGCGCTTTGGGCAGTTTGGTTACTTTGAGTTCACATTGGCTCTAAACTATATTTTCCTTTTTTCCTTTCTTTTGATAGGCCGTGTGGATTAGTTTTGTTTTGGTTTTACCACAATCAATCAATCAATCGATCAGATATGTTCTAGGGAAGGATGCGGTTGGGTTATTAGGTTATAAAGCAAATTAAAACCTCAAATTTTGTTGGTAAACATGCGAGTGTCAAGAACTGATGATAACCGAGGAGTGGGACAAGGATTGAACAGACCATCTTCCTTTATCAATGGAAGATACAGAGGGTGGCTCCGCTGGGGTTTGGAACCCACCCTGACTCATCGATACATGACGTGTTTTCAAAATGGCGGCTTCCTAGGAGAAATTTCTTAGAAACTTTTGAAAATGTCAAAATACTCTTTGGAATCTCAAACCGCGCGAGCTGTCATTATTTGACATGTGCTTTTTGATGGCGTAGATTAGAAACAATTTGGCTTCTGGTGCTTAGTTCTCCTTTAAATCATTTTCCCACTTAACTCCCCTCCAGATTCCAAACTCCAGGACATCCATCCCGGTCTCAGAGGGACGAGGAAGCTACCTTCACGGAGGTCATGGTCGCGAGAAACAAGGAACCAAACGATTAACGAAGAACTTGCCGACGGAATGAGATCAAGTGTTCTCGGCCTTAGCGAGTCAATCTCTGTTATACAAGTTAAGCCTTCTAGTGTGAAATAAACGTAGAGGTATTTTATTTCCTGGTGTGTTACAGTTATCTGACTAAAGTGAGGTCTGTTTCAAACTATGGCTCAGGCCTTTTCAATTCAACAAATTGAAAATTCAAATGGCCAAGTGGACAGATGCGGTTGCACTACATGTATTGAGATTAGTGGCATAAATTCCGGATCATTTCTATTCCTCCCTCGAAGGGAGGCAGAGAGGATCTTAGGAACGAGGCTACAGGTCGATCCGGTTGGAGTTCTAGCCAGGTTCATTGTGTTGTTTTTCTGAGAAAAAAATCCTTACAGGGGCCCTCCCAGCGGGGCCCTCCCAGCGGGGCCCTCTATGTCTATTATCTAACAGACATCTAACAGGGCTCAAGATGACTGAAATCTAGTACTTAATCATGCAAACTTTACCTTCAAGGCGAACGAGAACGTAATAGTACAGTAGAGTTAACGGGCTTATAATTAAAGATGACACGGTCTGATTACACCTTTTATTTTACTCAACACTAAACTTTAAGACTACAGTTGGTTGATTTAACAGAATTGGCAAATGTGCTACTGCTAGCTTGACATGTAAAGAAACAGAATGGCTCACTGAGCGTGGTGAAGATGTTATGTATTTGAAACAAGAAAAATTATGTTACGACCCCTTGTTTGTGTCCTTCGTGCAGAACCCTGTCAATAAGTTTATTTTTTTAAGAATCCAGGATTGTTCACCTGGGATTGAGATGTTTCTGACATCTACACTCGTTTCAAATAACTGTTCATGTTCCAAGTAACGTTGTATCTGCAAAACAAAAAAAGGGATTTGAAAATTTTGATACTACAAGATAATAATTTGCTGATTTTCGTGTAAATTCCATTTTACCACTTTTAAAGTTTCACCCTGATGTTGACCCAAAGATTAAGGTACAGAATCAAATTTCGAAATGGAACAAACTTTTGTAACTCATTTTCAAAAGATCAACGATAACAACATTTTACCCTTTTATTGTGCATGCGGATTTGGGAAACCGATTGTAAATCCTCAAAATTAAATCCGTGTGCATAATAGGGGCTTAGTTATTTGGCTAAAATCTACAAGTTGCGCTTTCGAATTGTAAATGTATGAATCTTCTTTTATTCTAGCGGATGGAGCTGAACAAGTGAGAAACCCATATGTATGCGTTTTATTTGCGTTCAGGCATGAGACTCTGACACTCGCAAATTAAAATTAAAACTCCATCGTTAGCTGGACGAACAACAAAGCGCTTCCAAAGTCCAGCGTTTAAACATCACCCACCCGAAAAAATCTGCGTATCGCTGATCCACGAGGTATCTTTCACCTTTGTCTTTCATGAAGAGCTTAACCGCGTCAAGCTTCACACTACCCAGTGGAGTGTACCCAAGCTCCTTGGCGAGCCCCTGACCAGGTGAGTTTGGAACTATGGGATTGGTGTCTTCAACACAGATGTAGTCATCAGGCTCCGTGAACTTATCAAAGTACTCAAGCACACCGGTGACGTTGACATGAGCATCTTCAGTTATAAACCATGGGTGAGGAAGTTCCTGTGGAGGGAAGTAATCCATCATTGATTACTAAACATCGGAATGACTCAGTCGTAGTAATTTTCAGTGTTAGACGACCTTTGGAATCGTTTTTGTTCTGAAAAAGGGCCAACGCTTTAGAATTTCTCTGCGGTGGCCAACTCACATCTCTTGAAATACTCCTCCCTCCAATCAAAAATGGACATTTTGGCACAAATAGCGATGGACTTTCTCACCTGGAGTAATTCTGGAGGAAAACATTTGTCAATCTCAAGTGAATCCCCTTGAATGAAGGTAACATCCGGGTATGCTTTAGCGACTGGATCCAGTAAAGAAAGATCAATATCCATTGACAGAACGCGTGATGTGACACCTATCATTTTCAGCATGTCCGCTGCCCACAAAGCTGAGCCGCCTTTGTAGGCTCCAAGCTCAATAACGGTTCTAGGCTTTAACTCCCAAAACAACTCCTGGACTGCTATAAGGTCGAGGCAGTCCTTCAGAACGGGAATTCCTCGCCATGAGGTCCAATATTTCCCTTAATAAGTAAAAATGTTTTCTTAGTCTTTACTTCATGCATTACTTATGCTTCAGCTATCAAATGAATGAAGATAACATTATTTCTTTATATATCTCTGACACATTTCTCAGTTAAGCTTTCAGGGGTCTAACTTGGAATAACGGCATGGGCCAAGAGAGTCTAAATACTTTTTGATAAATTCTCACCGATATGGGATAAAATCGACAGTATGTGATGTCTCTCACCAGCACATGTTCAAAAGCCTCCATTGCACTTGCTTGTATCAACACTGGACATATACATTGTTAGAATATTTCACTCTTGGAGCTCTTTTCCAAAGTCTCCAGTATATTGCCTACTTTTAAGGGCGTTTATGTATGATGACGAAAAAGGAATTAAAGTGTCCTTATTTCGTCAGTGAGAGCCATTTGTGTGGACGTCGTCTTATAATTATAAGTATTAATGAAGGAGACATAAGCCGAAGGACATCTTGACGTGAATCTTACCATGAGCTATTTTTAACATCATGTTAGTAGGCATATCACTCTTGTCCTGTCTGTCTTGAAAACGAGCATATCGCTGTTTTTGCGAAACTTCCTTATCGATGGCACTTTGGACTGGGCGATACTCTGCAGCTTCCATTTTCTCAACTGCTCTATGGTCCGCTAATCGATCTAAAGCTTTTTTAAATGAGTGGATGGCTCTAAACAAACATAGAACATGGCAAGAAATGGCTTAACAAGGAAGCATTCGGGTAAATGCGGATCGGGCCTTCCACAAGATCATTTATATGTATTAAAGGGACAAAACGAAGATCTAGATGCTTTAAAATGCTATAATTCCATGACTCGCGCATGACTTTTCTTTAGTTAAATGTCTTAGGGCCATCATGGAGAATGCGGTAATATATTTTAACAATACACCGTAGTTGAATGAATTGCTATTGTTTTCTTTTGAATTCCACTTCCAATTTGATGTTCAAATAACTTGTTGATAAGAAACTCATAGGTAAGTAGCCCACTCAGTGTTAAATCCGACTTAATTTTAATCCTATTTATTCGTTCTTGCTCATTTATACATTACTTTGCTTAGTTACCCATACATTTATATACTTACCTGATTTTATATACCAACTATAAGCTTCATTAAGGGTTTTGTTCGCAATAGAGACAACATCGCGGGTCAAATTTATTTTCATGAACCGTAAAGCTACCAAAATTCTGCTCTTAGCTAACTTCTCTCTACACGATACTTGTCACCGGACGGAAATCTTCAAACGTCCTGTCTTCCTGCCTTTTGGCAGAACTTTCTTCGAAAAACGAAACACGAATAAGAATATCACGTTTCTGACTGAACCTTTAAAAAGCCTGCAGGTCTTTCCTCAGGGCAGGTCTTTCCTCAAGAAACAAAAATTTCATGTTATGCTTTCCTTTTGACAAAATAACATGGCACGTCACTTCATTCTACGATCTTTGAAGAACTACATCGCCACACTTTTCAAAAAGTGTTATTTCTCTCACGGCCGCTTCTACTTATGAATCGAATCGAGGTGCAATGTCTATTTTATTTACCAACAATAAGCATAACGTAAGGTTTTGTTCGCAATAGAAACAACATCGCGGGTCAAATTTATTTTCATGAAAGAGGAAGCTTCCAAAATTCTGTTAATAGCTAACTTCTCTCTACGTTATATTTGTCACCGGACGAAAATCTTCAAATATCCTGTCTTCCTGCCTTTTGGCAGAAATTTCTTCGAGCAACGAAACGCGAATGAGAATATCATATCACATTTCTGGCTGAACCTTAAAAAAAGCTTCCTTCAGGCCAGGTGTTTCTTCAAGAAACAAAAATTTCATGTAGTGTTTTTCTTTTGACAAAGTAACATGGCACGTCACCTCGCGTTCTTTGAAGAACTCATCGCCACTGACCTTATGCTACCACGAAAACGCTGTGTGTACGCTTTTCGCACAAAAAACCTCCTAGAAATTTGTAGGCAGGAACAGTTTTATGGCGCGACTTGGATCAACGGCAATCCTTACTATCATACCAAACTTCTAAGCACCTCTAACCTGAAGCTTTACCCAAAAGTTATAGTTACCTCGGTTAGAATGTTCAAAAGCATGTCGTTTCGATCGAATTTTTTTAAGTGCCTATTATAGACAGGTTTTTGGGGGTGAAGTCATACACACGGAAGACGAGGAGCACGGATTGACATAATGTAAGGATATTTAAATAATGGTCCAACATGTGAAAACTGACAAAATAAGGATGCGCGCTAATTAACCAAAATGTGCAACTGGAGATGAAAATGAAGCATACTCAATTCGAGATACAATGTTGCGTCAAATAATCTCGGGAAATTTCTTTACGAGAAATCGTTAATTCGTTTCAAATCATCGAATCATAGCAATCATAACTTCTTGAGAAATTAAAAAAAAAAAAAGGAAACATAAAAAGGCACACATACCCCTATCCTGACCTTCAGGCGATGTACACAAAGAAGCTCCGAAAGGTGTCCTAGATTGAAAGGGTACCTTAACAATCGGCCATTGTAGTTAGGTTCTTAGAGACTGTCAACGTTTTGCTTACCCCGACAGGAAGCTGAAAAATTCTTGAAAGGCGTGCAATCACGTAAAACCGGATTTGGCCACGTCAGCCGCACCGAAAGGTTAAAAAATATAAAAATTTTACAATTTGATCTGATTAAACTGAAAACAGTAAAATATAAGAAAAAATATTCAGAGAAAGGAACTCCAAATAGGAATTTTCAATAGAGGGGATAACGTCACAATCATTTTATACAGAAAGGAAGAGGTCATAGGTTCAGATCACGGCCTCACTTTCACTACTGCTTAAGCAGTGATCATCGCAGCGAAGATCACTTTCATATTCATTTCTTAAAAACCGAAGGTTACAGATATGATTTTCATATATTCACAGTCGTTAAAAGGATAGAATTGGTTCATGTGGGTGAAAGACATTTTCAAAGGTTGTCCCGTCCTCCTCCCACAGGACTTTCAACGAGTTTCACTCTAGGTAATTTTAATACTTCTGTTTATTGATCTGTTCAGCCACGAAATCAGGCAAGGTGCAATTTTCTCTAGCTAAAAAGTCACAAACCACTTAATCTGAAGGTGCCCATAAGTTTATCTTTCCACGACCAAAATACTTGAAAGTAGAAGCTGCCAATACAATAGCAGGCGACTGTTGCTGTGAAGTGAATCATTAACTACTAATTTGTTTCAAACTAGTTTTTTATTCCATGAATTGACCAAGCTTATTTTGAATGATTTCTATCATTCTTTCTTGAAACCCAGGAGAGTCACGATGAATGACCTCTAAACGCGTTTGAGGAAACCGTTTGAGTTCCATGTAACATTATACCTGCCATACAAAAGCAAAAAAATCCACCGTCATAATCAAATATGAATCTTTGTTAGTCTGTTCACAGCCAATAAAATTTCTTTTAAATGTCATCCCAAAGTGAAAGAAACCCCGGGGGGTGGGGGATTTAACGAGTGCTCCCGATGGGGGTGGGTGGTCGGAGACAAAGGAAATAGGCAGCCTGTGGAATAATTGTTGTCACTGAATTTATCGTTTCTCAAATAACGAAAAATTCTCAGGGACTAAAATGTCATTGATATGAGATCGATCCAAAATATGAATGAGATGGGGAAATAGTCTTCGCAATTCTTAGTAAAGGTTGTTCCACTCGGTTTTCTAGATCCTGCATGATTGTGTTTCAGACCGAACATCATTTTTCATACCCGTCTTCATCCTTAAAAGCGTTTGAAATTTATTTCCGTTTCCGAACCTGGATTACGAAGGCAACAGTTTGAGGATTTGGTCCAAAAATCTATTAGGTGTTTTACAGCTTAGTTAAGCTTTGCACCATGTGAAATGTAGGATGTAGAAAACACGTTAAGGCCAAAATCCTCCGACCCTCCGACCCTCCCCCTCCCCTCAGGTGAAAAACAATAATCGGTCCCTTATCGCCAGGTTTTTCTTGTAGCTATTGCCTTTAATTTGAAGCTGATTTTTAATATGTGAACTCGTTACTCACCCAAAGAGGTCTGTATATAGTTGGTCAACAAGGTATCTCTCTGAATGAGTTTTCATAAATTCCTTTAACTTATCAAGTTTCGAATGTCCAAACGGAGTATACCCAAGCTCTTTGATGAGTCCCTGGCCAGGCTGGTTTGGTGCTAATGGATTAGTATCTTCTACGCAGATGTAGTCACCAGGCTCCGTAAATTTGTCAAAGTATTTCAGTACTTCAACTATATTAATATGCACGTCTTCAGTAATGAACCAAGGATGTGGGAGAGTCTGTGGGTGAAAGTTACCTTGGCTCAACTTCGGTTTCTCTTACATTTAAGCTTTGTTAGAGATAGATCATCAAATTCAGTAAAATATAAACAACAGCCTCCGTCCGGCCAGAAAGTATGCTAGGAAATCAACTGTTCTCAAAGGCGAGCAGTATTCCGAGAACGAAACTCGAGGAGAACTGTGAGCAACGAGGAACAGATAATGTCCAAGGACAAATCTATGAGTATATTTTCGCACCAAATGAAGGTTCCTTTGCTTAGCTCTGTCAAATCTTTTTTGGTACGACTTCATTAACAGACACATATGTCCCTTCTTCTGTAACAACAAAAAAACCCTCTCTCATCGTGAATTGAATTCATAACGAAGAAAAGAAACATATCTAGAAATTAACGAATCTCATTTGGGAAATATCACCGGATATTCCCAAGTTATGGCTGCGACATATAAGATCACGTGACACGACTAGAATAATCGCGCGCAAGAAAAAACATTTGATGGATGATAATTGGCAATATGTTTTCATACCTGAAGCAATTCTGGAGGGAAGCATTTTTCGATTTCATTCGAATTTCCTTCAATGAAAGTTACATCAGGGCATTCCTTGGCGACTGGATCCAGAAGAGAAAGATCAATGTCCATAGAAAAGACATGTGACTTCACACCTAAAATTTTCAGCATATCTGCTGACCACAAGGCTGATCCACCCTTCCATGCGCCAAGCTCGATGACTGTCTGAGGCTTCTCTTCCCAAAATAACTTCTGCACTATTGCGAGACTAAGACAATCCTTTAAGAATGGCACTCCTTTCCAGGCATTCAAATATTTTCCTTCAAAGAACAACGCTCATTATTTACTCCAATTTGTTAGCAGGCCCTCATGATAAGCGCTGCAGGACCAGAACTTCTCGGCCCGCGGGAAGATTTGAGACGAGTCGGGGAGAGGTTTGCCGGGGATCTGGCACTATCAGTGCCAAGGCCTCTCGCCCGCTTGCGGTGCACGAGGCCTCATACTTTCTCGCGGGCGCAGAAATGATCGTCCCGAAGCGTTAATAACGAGGGCCTCACAGGCTAAAATTACTCTTTCTCTAGTCTCCTTCACAGTCGTGCTAAGGAATGTCACGCAATGCTTC